CTTAGTGACTGAACAACAACAAATACTGGGAGGTGGAAATCTTTTGGATCATCTCATAATTCTGCCTTCCTCAGAACCCTTCAATTCAACTCACTGAAATTAAAAGTTACAGTATATATGTGTGTGTGTGTGTATATATATATATGTACATATATATATATTTCTTTACTGTAAATAAACCTGTAGATTCTATTATCTTTTGCCATAAATTAATATGAAACTAAATATATAATCTTATTTTAGCAAAGTATTGTAACCATTATTCCCACATCCTTAAAGTGAACAATTTTCTTTTCATCTTTTTTTAGTTGCATGTCTGTTTTTGTCAGAAATATGCCGCACATTAATCAAGCATTAAGTGACTAAGATTTTATTGTGGTCTAAATAAGAGTAGAACAGTTGAAGGTGGAACTTGAGAAGTCACCATGAGATATTACTCAGGGTATTCATTCATTCTAGTTGCTGCAAATTCTTGGAACACAGAAAAAGACCAGTTCAGAAAGTCTGACTTGTGCCTCACTGTGAAGAGGTACACTTCACTAATGTCTCCATTTTGCATATCCAATACTTAACCTACAGTTCTATCATAATTGATCATGCATTTTCATACATAAGTATGCTCAAAGTTGAAATTACACTAATTCTAATCAATTTTTTAAAAATCTGGATGATTATTCAGAGCAAGACAATGTCTTTATATAAAGTGATGCAAATGTATAAAATTCTACCCTTATAGGCAATCTTAAGTTGAGTTACCAAAATAAAATATAACACACTTTCAATATCACTGTAAGAATTATTCAAAGTGATCTATGTTTATGTCAAGTTGGATTCATTCTTCTTTATCCTCAATTGTGTTTCTAACCTGATGTTTTCCTCCTATTTGTTGATTTTTGACCCAAGAAAGCAAATTAGTCACAATGGTTAATACATTTTCTTCTTCATTTCAGAATAAATTTAAAGTTTAAATAAGTCATCTTTCTTAGAGAACACTATCCAAAGTTATTAATAATACTTTAAAATTTGAGATCTTTTTTGGGTACCTATATGTGTTTTCATCTCCATTAGATGAATTGTTTGAGTGGACTGAGATTGTGAGTAATCTGAGTACAAAATGCCAGTATTAAAAAGATTATAGTCAAGTAAGACAGTGCCTCTTTGGCGATAACATTGTTTTTTTCCTCTAGTTGCTGGGTGTCAAAGTCGCTCTGTGGGGTAAAGTCTGGATACTATTCCTCTGAGGCCAATGTGTTTGAGCATCAGCCAGCAGCAGTGTGATGCTATCGATCACGGCAGCCATCTCAGGGAGGGCTGAGAAAAGGCTGAGCTGAACAGTCAGCAAGACAGTGCAGGCAGGAGCATGCTATTTATGGGAGCGACCCATGAAGACATCACATTATTCCTCATGACACAGTTGAAGGTAAATACTTCTCCATTCAGTCTTATAGTCTTATAGACTATGGGAGTCTTATAGTCCTCCCGTTATACTAGACGGTATTTGTTGTTGTTGCAAATGCTGGCATTTAACCCAGACTTTTAAAATGCCTCTAATGTGCATGGGAAACCTCAGCATCTGATGACTCATAGTAAGAATGTCTGTGCCTCTCTCTTACACACTCATTGTTTGTCTTTTCTGTGATTTATTCAGACACAATGGACATGAGTTTGAGTAAACCCTGAGAGATAGTGAAGGACAGGCAAGCCTGGTGTCCATGGGGTTGAAAGAGTTGGACACAACTTAGCAACTGAACAAAAACAATGAACAACAACAGATTCAAATGCAAAAATAAAAATGATTTGAAAATATATTCCCACTGGCATCCATTAGTTCCTGGGTTCATCTTTTGAGAGCAGAAGCCCCTTGTCATGATTCTACTTTAGTCTGATGTTTATGGTAATGTACAATGCTATACAATGTATGATTACAGAATGTAACTATGAAACATAAATGTAAGATGCATTAGGTAAGACAGAAGAGTGAAAATTCAGTTTGTAAAGCAAGTAAAACTATGCTGACAAATATGTTTCATGAGTGATGCATAAATGAGATCTGCTTTTAACATCATCATTATCTTTAGAAAGTGGGAGCTCTGCTCATTCCTTAAAGATGACAAAGGTATCCATGGAGACCTGCCAATATCAGGATTCAGGTCTTACATTCTAGCCTCAGTGTTTTTAACAAATCATTGAGCATGGGGAAGGGGGTTAACCTTCCCTGGGTCTTTTCTTTTTCTGTTTGAATTCCTAAAGTATTTGGGATTGAAATACATGACTTCTAAGCTCTTATCTAACCTCTAAAATATCTTACGGCCCTAATATAAGACATTTTGACAGACATTAGAATATCATTGAATACACCCTAAAGCACCTCTCAACACTGAACTGGGGATACCATCTAAGAAATGTGGGGACTAAGAAAAATATCGAGGTGCTTTCTCATTATTAGAGTGAGAAAGGGCTGGTCACTGATTCACATCTCTAATCTTTATCGTATATGTGTGTGCTGTGCTCACTCGCGTCTGATGCTCTGCGGCCGCATGGACTGTACCCTCCCAGGCTCCTCAGTCCACAGGATTCTCCAGGCAAGAATGCTGCAGTGGGTTGCCATTTCCTTCTCCAGGGGATCTTCCTGACCCAGGGATTGAACCTGCGGTTCTTACATTTCCAGCATTGGCAGATGGGTTCTTTAACTCTAGTACCATCTGGGAAGCACGATACATACACAGCATGATACAATCCCATCATTCTTATATAAGTAGAACTTTAAAGACTCACAGATCTTCACCTTTGAATTGAAAGGCACTCTGTCCTCCTTCCCCCCTGTCCAGCCTAGACACTTGCCCCACACCACTGACACCTGATGAGAACCCATTTCTCACATATTCTCCATTAAAGTTCATTCAATGTTGTAATATCACACTTTCTATGAGCTAGACACTTTTCCGTGAATCACAGTCAAATGGCTTCATATAATTAATTTAACATTAATCTTACTTCTCAGACATTAATCCATACCACCACTCCCCCAAGTTTAAGGTAGTTGTCACATTTTGGACAAAAGAAATCTCTAGGATAGGGATACCTACCCCTTTAGCGTTCTCTAAATGCTTCTGCATCCGAATCAGTTGATCCTAGCTAATTATTCTGCTCTCATTAATAACACTCAGAAAAGAACAGGCTGTGCAATTTGCATTTTGACCACTGCAGCTTCCTGTGAGAGTATCTCCTCTGAGCTGCTTACTGCACATTTGTTAACACAAGCTAAGACTGCATTAGAAATTGTTGTCAATTATTTTTAAAAAGTATTGGCGTCTATTGAGTTTAAATGAAATAAGATCTTAGGAAATCCTGGAGCCTGAGTTCCTCTGTTTGACATATGAAACATAAGAAGACATTCTGTAATTTATCCTTACTAAATTATCATGCAGTCTGGATAAAAATTGCATATTTTGCAATATTTTAGTAACCTTATTATATCACTTAATGCATTAACTAGACCTTCCATATATGTTAAACTAGAAAGAAGTTCTTAGTCTATGATTATCCAAGGCTGATAAAAATACTGAATAAAGTATAATCTGACCCTCACCAAAGGCACAACCGATTGGATTTAGAAGAGTACTCATTGATGAAAACACCACATGTGCTATCTTCTAACCTGAACTGATTCAAATTCTAAGCAAAAAAATGACAACGTTTTTTTTCTCCAGATACCTTGCTGAAATAAAGATGTGCTAGCTCTAACATTTTGATCAATTCCTGAAAGGAAGACCAAGATAACAACTTGCTGTTTAAATCTGCAATAATCCAGGATGGGAGACTTAACATTACTCTGTGATGGTATCAAGATTCAGAAAGACTGAGGGACATTCCCTACTTCTGGTGCCATAGAATTCTCCAACTGGGACAGTAGAGAACAATTTAAAGTCAAAACCATTCATTCATGGTGCAAAGAAATCATCTACTACATTAAACATTTTTGGATCAAAAAAAAAAAGATAGTGGCTGCTGCAGCTAACTTTGAGAAATCCTTGACATTTCAAAAACATTTTGTCTTTTTTTTTTTTAATGTACAGTTTCAAATGACAAGGTACTGATTCCTTAAAGCTGAATTTCTTAGGGTTATTTTTCATTTGCATAAATTTATCAAGCATAAATTACTCAGGGTTTCTGAAGAACATTCCAAATATATGTCTATTCATATGACTCATTATTTGTAAGAACATGATTTTTTAAAAGTGCCGTGCTTTTGCCCCTAACTCTGGGTATCATCCATTGTGCCATTTAAACTATTTTCTGGAACTTTTTCTGTTTACTCTCTTCCCAATCAATTCTTCCTCTTTGTCTAGTTTACCTGGAACTCTGCAGTCACAGACCTATTTAAAATCAATGGGACTGGAAGAGAAGCTTACTAAAGAGAACCTACCAAATATTTTTACGCAGGTTTTTAAGATTTAAACTCAAACATCATCGGAAACTGCTGCCTCAGTTCCCTGGATCTAACCCAAAGACAAACAGAATTCGTCATACCCCAGTTTAGTAGTGTGAAACGTCTTTCTTAAGTAAGGCTACAGTGCATATGCTGATACTGTGCTGTTGTGTTAGTCCCTAAATCCTGTCTGACTCTGTGACCCCATGGATTATAGCCCACCAGGCTCCTCTGTCCATGAGATTTTCCAGGCAAGAACACTGGAGTGGGTTGCCATTTCCTAATCCAGGGGATCTTCCCAACCCAGGGATCCAACCCGGGGTTTCCTGCATTGCAAGCAGAGTCTTTAGCATCTGAGGCACCAGGGAAGCCCTGCATATGCTGATATAAGTAATCAGAACATAATATGTAACCCTCCTGTTTCTGTATCAAAGTGAAGGAAAGGGAATCTAAGCGGTTTGAACAACTTATTAAGGCTCAAGCTGCATGAAGGAAACACCATTCATAGAGCATGCGCTCTGCACCCTCCGACCCTTGGGAAGGCCGAGCAGCTAAGAGCGGAGACGCTTACGTTCTTGGAAGGACGTGAAGAGCATCTGAAAGCGGCTGTTGCGGCTGCCCTCGTCGGCCCACATGCGGATGACCCCGAGGCCTGTGCGGAGCATCACGTCGTTGGCCACCGTGCTGCAGAACTTGGCTTTCAGGTCCTCCACCGAGCTGCTTCCGTCATACACCGCCACGAAGTTCCTCTTGCATTCGTTGGAATTCTGCATCTCATAGTCCAAGAACCGTAAGTAGATCTGTAAAACAACAAAGATGTGATAACTTCCCTGGAAAGAGGGAAGTAGCTCAGTAAGCACCGGCGCTTCCTGTCTCTTTCTTAGTCTCACAAGACCAGCTTGATTGCACTCAATCTTATCATTTTTTGCCTGTGGGTGGTAGAAAGTAAAGGCGTATATCACGCAGATCAACTTGTGCTTAATACTTTTTTCAAATGCTATTAACCTTCTTTTAGGTAAAAGTACCATTTCCCATCACTGAGTAATTTTACCCAGATAATCTTTATGTCTTCTCTTAATTTTTCTGGAGTCAGTTATTAGTTTTCATACTTACTGCTTTATTTTAATTAGCATAAATGTGTTTTAAATATTGCTCATATATTCTTGTTAGAGTTCCATGACTTCAATTTACTTCCAAAAATATGTGGAAATGCAACATTTATACTAATATCAAACAAAACCAGAAATGGCATCAAAAGATAGTCTCTGCTTTTACTTTGCTTAAATTATTTCACATAACTACACTGCTTAATTTTTAAGATAGAGTATATATTTTTAAAATACAGCTAAATCTGTGGTCATTCTAACCATAACATAGAGTCAAGCCATTTAGTTAAGTCCATGTAAATAAAAATTAAATTAACACTTAATGGGTAAAATGGACTGTACAACCTACTTTAGAGATTATTGTTAAATACTCCCCCAAACTCTATAAAGTGGCACATTTATTATTATATTCAGGAAATGCAGACTTGGATGATATAAACTGCAAAGTAGACACAGGGTCCCTCAAGCCAGTCTGTAGTCCTTTCACCATATTACACTGCTTCAGACATACTGCTTTAATAGCAACGGACATTACATGACTCGCTATGAATGTGTATTAAAAACTGAAAGCAATTAATTTAACCAATAATAAATATATATAATGGACTACTACCCAGCCACAAAAAAAGAATGAAATCCTGCCATTTGAATCAACATGGATGGACCCCAAAGGTATCATGCTGTATGAAGTTCGGTGGAGAAAGACAAACATTTCACACATATGTGGAATCTAAAAACCAAACCAAACACAGTTTTAAAAAGTCAATCTGTTCGAAAAAAACAAGATAAAACCAAAATAGTTGTTACCAAAGGGGAAGTGAGTTGAGGGTGGGCAAAATAGGTAAAGGGGGTCAACCATATGGTGATGGATGGTAACTCGTCTTGGGGCGGTGACGACCTTGCAGAGTATGTAGGTGGTGAATTATAGTGCTGTATGCAAGGAGATCCAACCAGTCCATCCTAAAGGAGATCAGTCCTGGGTGTTCACTGGAAGGACTGATGCTGAAGCTGAAACTCCAGTACTTCGGCCACCTCATGCCAAGAGTTGACTCATTGGAAAAGACCCTGATGCTGGGAGGGATTGGGGGCAGGAGGAGAAGGGGACGACAGAGGATGAGATGGCTGGATGGCATCACCGACTCGATGGGCATGAGTCTGAGTAAACTCCGGGAGTTGGTGATGGACAGGGAGGACTGGCGTACTGTGATTCATGGGGTTGCAAAGAGTCGGACATGACTGAGTGACCGAACTGAACTGAACTGATGCCTGTAACTCATGTAACAATAATATTTAAAAATGACTTCTTCCATTCTCCAACCACAGGGGCATTATTCTCCCTTTGTGTTACAATATTATTTTGGACAAATTTTAAGCTTTAGTTACAGGTCATATGTAACTTTTGTTGAACTGTGTGCTCCTAAAAAGCTGGGACACTGGTGTACTTATTTTATTTTCAGTGTTTGACCATGTGTTATGTATGTTAAGCACTCACCATAAAATTTAATGGATGTACATTTAATGACTGACTAAAATTTTGTTTTCTTTATTGACTTCATTTTTTTCAGCATCCATCACATATCTCTTGGGCACCTACCTATACACCAGACTTTTGAGTGCTATAAATCATGATAATTGTATATAGAGAATAAATGACAGTTTATTATTTGTAGTAGAAAATGGTATGCAATAATTCTCAAGACAAGTTATTTATAATATAACTCTAAATTATAACATAAAAGCATATATGTAGTGTGATGCAGACTTATAAGGAACTGACTGAGTAAAATGTGAATCTTAAGTCAGGAAATCTTCATATAGTTCTCAGGAGGAAGAACAAAACAGAAAAATAGGGAGAAATAGGCAAAATAGAGACACAATGGGAAGCACCATAGTTTTATTATGCTTTGTATGGTGAGAAGGTTTTCATGTATATGCGATCTGTAAAATTTCAGTTGGAAACTGTACCAAAATTCCCAAATACTTTGAAGCTGATTTTAAATTAACTGACGTTTTTGTTGTTGTTTAGTTGCTCAGTCATGTCCAACTCTCTGCAAGCCCATGGACTGTAGCCCACCAGGCTCCTCTGTCCTTGGGATTTCCCAGGCAAGAATACTGGAGTCATTCCCTTGATCCCTTCCTGACCCAGGGATCAAGCCTGTGTCTCCTGAATTGGCAGGAGGATTCTTTACCACTGAGCCATCATTACTACAGCCTTATAAAACCTATAGCCTGAGAAAACCTCCTGTTTATCATTACCAGATTATTGCTTTATTTTATTCTTTTAACAGTTCAAATATTACTCATGTAATATTTTAGATCTTAGATCTACTCTCTATCTTATCTTAGATCTACTCTTCCCAACCAAATATTGCATTTCAGAAAATTATCCAAACAATTCTATCGTCCATCATAAGAAGGTATCTGAATATGTTAAATCTTCCAAGTTTCTACTAACTACTTTGCTTTTCAAATTTTCACATGGATTTGTACAAAGGAATTGTATCTGTCATTCAGATGATCTCAAAGGAATTGTATGTGTCATTCAGATGATCTTTGCCAGGAAGTGAAGGAGACAAAATAGCTTACTTAAGGAAAATAAATCAATATGAGAACCTTAAACAGGATTAAAATCCTGAACTCTTATTTTAAAGATCTTTTCATTAGGCCCATCCTGATTAAAAGTAAACAAATTGTAAACTGTATGAAAATACAAATAGCTATAAACTCTATGTATTCTTGGAAAGTAGAAGAACTTAAATGCAACAAAAATCAAATATATATTTATATTCTCAAGTAGTACACAATGATTCCAACATATTTAATTAGCCCTCAAAGTAATATGCAGTTAGAATTGTAAACACACATAGCTCCTAACAGGAGAAGACACTCAGCAGAGTAGCAGAAAATCCCTCCCTCCAGCGTCCTTGCAAAGTTACAAGAAACAAACATGATGCCCACAGAAAGAAAAATAACTAGAGGGATTGTTCAACTAATTCAAGAAAAAAGATTTTTGATTGTGTAATATTTTCAGGTTGATTCAGGGGTGAATATGTCTGGACAGTTATTTCAGGTTTCTTTCTGACTCTGAATAAAGAAACACAACTTAAAATGCTAAATTTTTGCATCGTATACTGACAATAACTCAACACTGTGCAAAGGCATTATCTCACTCAAATCTCTCCAACAGCGATGCACACTATTATCACAACTATTTTAAAATAAGATGATGTTTGAAAAAGCAAAGTGATGTTCTTAAAGCAACACAGGACCTTAAGTAATAGATCAGTATTCAACTTAGTTCTGCCTGACACTTTTCTCCTTGGTATCAAACTTCGCAGATTCAGATAAATTTTTTGAAAATTTTCAGACTGACAGTCCAGAAAGAAAGTTATAGTCCTAAACAAGAACAAACTACAACAAAATTGACAAGTAAGCCATCAAAACAAACCCATTTATATTTTTCTAAAGGGACTAAGAAACATACTGATGGCTGACATATTAATGAAATTCACAGAAAATAAATATGTTCCTCTGAAATAAATGGCTGTTTTAAATTTTCTTCAAAAATAAGATTATTTTATGAAAGAACACTGATATAGTTAAAAAGGCGATTTGCATATTTGGCCCTTGTTTTTTCATTTGACATTTTCCATGGGAGGTGAATGGTGTGCACTCTTACAAGAACCGGCATGGCTGAAGTGGAAGAACCTTCTATATTTAAAGACCATTCTTATTAGAGCTATTTCAAATCCTAAAAGATGATACTGTGAAAGTGCTGCACTCAATATGCCAGGAAATTTGAAAAACTCAGTAGTGGTCACAGGACTGGAAAAGGTCAGTAGTAAAGCTAGTAGTAAAGCTAGTAAAGCTCAAAATTCTCCAAGCCAGGCTTCAATAGAATGTGAACCGCAAACTTCCAGATATTCAAGCTGGATTTAGAAAAGGCAGAGGAACCAGAGGTCAAATTGCCAACATCTACTGGATCATCAAAAAAGGAAGAGAGTTTCAGAAAAAGATCTACTTCTGCTTTATTGACTATGCCAAAGTCTTTGACTGTGTGGATCACAATAAACTGTGGAAAATTCTTCAAGAGATGGGAATACCAGACCACCTAACCTGCCTTCTGAGAAATCTGTATGCAGGTCAAGTAGCAACAGAACTGGACATGGAACAACAGACTGGTTCCAAATAGGGAAAGGAGTACATCAAGGCTGTATATTGTCACCCTGCTTATTTAACTTATATGCAGAGTTTGTCACGCGAAATGCCAGGCTGGATGAAACACAAGCTGGAATCAAGATTGCTGGGAGAAATATTAATAACCTCAGATATGCAAATGACAGAAAGTGAAGAACTACTAAAGAGTCTCTAGATGAAAGTGAAAGAGGAGAGTGAAAAAGTTGGCTTAAAGCTTAACATTCAGAAAACTAAGATCATGGCATCTGGTCCCATCACTTCATGGCAAATAGATGGGGAAACAATGGAAACAGTGAGAAACTTTATTATTATTATTATTATTATTATTATTATTATTATTATTTTGGCTCCAAAATCACTGCAGATGGTGACTGCAGCCATGAAATTAAAAGACGCTTACTCCTTGGAAGAAAAGTTATGAGCAACCTAGACAACATATTAAGAAGCAGAGACATTACTTTGCCAACAAACGTCTGTCTAGTCAAAGCTTTGGTTTT